TACTATAATAAACATATATAGCCAACATAGGTACAAGTTATTCAATGCTTTCTAGTATTAAATACTACCGAGATTATCATAAAAGTTAATGATAATAGCAACCAAACATAAGACAAATAATACCAAACTATATGTGTAATCACTTTACCTAATACCTCAAAACAAATGACACTGAAGTGTGTGATATGGTACATATCTAACAGTTTACCCAAGTATCTACCATTCTGTACAATATCTATGATTCATCTGAGAATAAACTTTCTTGGATCAGCTGTTAAGTGACGATAGTGATTTTGATATTGGAGAGGGATAATGAACTTAATTAAAGGATTTTAAAAACCAAATTGTATTTCTTTCTCTTCCAAACAGAACAGAAATTAACAAACTATCCATAAACAAGACTCAACTTATTCAAACAACAAAAGAGCTCCAAATATAGTTGATTGCCTGATTCAATAACATACCTCCAAAAGCCTCTCCGATGCATTGCAAACCCATACAAACACCAAATAATGGTACAGTTGGTCCAAGTTCCAGTACAGTTTGTAATGATATCCCTGAATCTTAGGGTGTACCTATTCCAAATAAAATAAGATCAAAAGTAACTATCTTTCCATAAGTTCTAGAAAAGTAAAATGATAACTTCATATATTTGGGTAACTTTTCTTACCTGGTCCAGGTGATATTAGTATTCCCCTTAATCATTTTACTTTTCTAGAACTTATGGTATCAACTTAATCAGGTTTAAGGAGTAAGAAAAGAGCACTCCTCCAACAGCATGCGCATGCTAGCTTACACTTGTTGGAACACAAATATTGTAACTATACTATAACAGCTTGACAAAAAAGAATTATGTATTACTTTTTCAGTTCATCCACACTAAGCTCGTCGTTACGATAAACCTCGAAATTGCATCCAAGCTCTCCCATATACTTCAAAAATAATAATAATAAGAAACACCAAAATAATAATTTCTACATTCCTTAATATTTCAAAATCAATATTTAGCTCCAACTTCAATATATTACAAAATTATCAACAAAAAAAGAAAAGAAAAAGAGCAAAATCAAGACAAACTAAGATAATAATTCTTCTTAACTTTTTGGCATACCTGACAGAGATTATAAGTGAAGCTATCATAATTATCAATTGCGATAATTGGACTCTTTGTCTGTTCAGAATTATCCGAAAATTCAACACTAGTAACGGAATTATTCTGCGATAAAACAGTGAAAGGTGTCGTTTCTAGCCGCTTTTTGCTTCTGATTAGGAGAATGGAGCTGCCAGAGCCGGAGAGAATTGGAAAAGCTAGGGCATTTTTGTGAGGATGAGGCGAGATAGAAGTGTTTTTGATGTTAATGTGAATGACGGGAGATTGTAAAGAGGAGGGAGGGACGATAATGCCGGCCATAAGAGATTGCTGAGAGAAGTGAAACGCCGGCGTTTGAGATTGTGATTGGATCTAAAGCGGCGGCAATGGCGAAAAGGTGGAATTTTTTTTTTTTTTTTTGGATAATTTCAGATGAATACAACTCACACACCTAACTTGCAACATAAAAGCCTAGATACCACTTTGCAAATCTATAGCCCAAAAAATAATAGGCTAATTCACGAAAGACAACTTATTTTGCTCCCTCTGTATACAACCAGTTGTTTTCATTCTGTTGATTTCCTTTGATTATTAAGCATTTGATAAAAAAATGCAAATCAGTCACAACGCAACTCAAAAATCCTGAATAGTACATATTATCTGAAGGTAAGAAATTCAAACACTTTTATGTGCAATTGCTGAAGCAATCCAACAGGATAAAAGAAAATAAAAACTTGGTAAATGAATTGTAGAATCCCTCCAACGCTCATACAACATATTACACGAAAAAGAAGAAGAGAAGAAAGTGTCAAACTTCTATAGAGGCCTCTTACACACTAACAATGTATATACATCCTTATAAACTGAAAAAATATATAATTATACAATATTATACACAATTATACAATACTGTATAACTTGTATAAACATGTATAATAGTGTATAAGAGGTGTTTGTATATCCATATACACAATGATACACTAGTATACAGTGTTGATACAAACTGCTACATAGTTATGATTTTTATCCAAACCTAATTTCAAAATCGAGACTAGGTCATAATAATAATGACCAGAACTTCAAACTTCAAAATCTTCCAACATTAGTGGTTATTTTTTGGTGCAAATCAAGTTTGAGAGCTATTTATTTTCAGATCTGTGTGTATTTTCATGTTTCTTTCAAAAATCTTCAATATTCTTGTGCTTGCCACCATGGACGACGGAGTAGGAGCCCGAGCCTTCTTCGACCCATTAATGACAGAACTGCGTGGGGGGTAGGGGAGGGGGAATAGCGGGGGATAGGTTAAGAGAGGATGAGGGATCTATGTGCGCTAGAAAGAAAGAAGTGAGAGGCGGTGAGAGAGAAGGGAATGAAGAAAGAAGAAAATAATAAAAACCCTAAAAGTATGTCTTTAATAGTGGGCTAAAGGCTGAAAAATTTCTTTCAAGTTATGTATAACATGGGCTAAATAGGGTAAGAGCTTCAAATGTGGTCCATTTTTGGTTGGGCTGTTAGGCCAAGTGACATGGGCTGCAATTCTTTCTCAGATATATCAAGGTGGTCAGAATGGTTAGAAGAGGTAAAGAAAGGTTTAGACTCAAAAAATGTGACGTCAAAGGACATAAAGTACCTACGAAGATCAGGTGAGTAACAACGATATCCCTTATGAACACGAGAATAACCAAGGAAGACACAGTTGAGAACACGAGGAGCTAACTTATCTTTCCCAGGGGCTAAGTTATGAACGAAACAAGTGCTCCCAAAAACACGAGGGGGAACAGAGTATAAGGGTGACTGGGAAAACAATACTGCATACAGAATCTTATTCTGGATGGGAGATGAAGGCATCCGATTAACCAAATAACAAGTTGTGATAACTGCATCGCCCCAAACACACAACGGAACATGAGATTCAATGAGAAGTGTGTGAGCAGTCTTAATAATATGCCTATTCTTTCTCTCTGCAACCCCATTTTGCTGAGGGGTATAAGGACAAGAGGTCTGATGAATAATTCCTTGAGAAGTCATAAACTGCTGAAATTGAGAGGATAAATATTCGAAGGCATTATCACTGCGAATAGTGCGAATAGAAACACCAAATTGATTTTTAATTTCAGCAAAAAAATTCTGGAATATAGAAAACAACTCAGAACGATCTTTCATTAAGAAAATCCAAGTAAATCTTGAATGATCATTAATGAAACTAACAAAATAACCAAATTCCAAGGTTGAACTGACTCTACTAGGACCCCATATATCAGAATGAACTAAAGAAAAAACAAACTCTACATGACTCTCAATACTACGAGGAAAGGAGGCTCGGGTATGTTTCCCAAGCTGACATGACTCACACTCTAATGTAGATAAACTAGACAAACTAGGCACCATCTTCTGGAGCTTGCATAAGCTTGGATGTCCTAAACGTCTGTGAATTAGGTCTGGAGGATCTGTAACTAGACATGCCTTGGAGGAAGTGAGTGAGTTAAAGTAGTAAAGGCCTTCTGATTCAAGTCTTGTTCCAATCGTCTGGCCCGTACTGCGGTCCTGCATAATAAAAGAATCATCAATAAAATATATACCACAATGGAGGGCACGAGTCAAACGACTAACAATTGCAAGATTAAAAGGACATCCAGGGACATAAAGAATGGAATATAGAGTGACAGAGGGTAGGGGATTCGCTTGTCCAACTCCTTTTGCTTTAGTTATGAGACCTATTGGCTAAAGTAACAGTGGGAAGAGACTGTGAATACGCAATATTTGACAAAAGTGATTTATTACCAGAGATATGATCAGAAGCGGTTGAGTCCACAACATATTGTCCAACAGTACTAGACTGGGAAACACAAGTAAAAGAATTTCCAGCAACAGAAGTATCAGTCTGAGCAACAAAGGCTACTTGTGGAGATGTCTGCTTACTTGCTTGATATTGAAGTAACTCATTATACTCCCCTTCAGATAAAGAAAATCCCTGCTTACCAGTAGTCTTAGTCTGAGCAACATAAGCATTTTTGGGTGGGCGGCCATGTAAAGAATAGCACACGTCACGAGTGTGTCCAAGTTTATGACAATAAGAGCACTTGGGTCTAGATCTTCCAAAACGACCTCCTCCTTGTCTATTCTCCATAGTATGGAATGCCCGATTGTCCACTGTATAGGATGCGAGAACAGATGAGTCAAGTGTCTGTGATGAGATCACTGGGTGACTTGGTGCTGCAGTAAGGCGAAATAATCGAGAGAATAATTCATCAACTGTGGGGGACAGTCGGACTAGACAAAATCTGATTGCGTACCGAGTCAAGATCATTAGGAAGCCCAGCAAGAGTAAGAACTAGAAACATCTTTTGTCGCTGCTCTTGCTGCTTTGCAACACTAGCAGAAGCTGGCATCAACTTCTCAAATTCCTCCATGACCGCGTGTACTTGTCCCAAGTAAGTAGACATATCTAATTCATGTTTCTTTAAATTTGTCATTCGCGATATCACATCATAGAAACGAGATATGTCATTAGTGTATAAAGTGCGAGCTTTTTCCCAACCCAAATAACATGTCTCGAATGGATGAAACAAGGGCATCAACTTGGAATCAATAGATCGCCACAGAATACTGCATAATTGAGCATCGATCTTCTCCCAAAGTGCTTTGGCTTTTTCATCTCCTTCACTAGACTTCGTGATTAGACGATCTTGAACACCTTGACCTTAACACCACAATTCTATAGACGAAGCCCAAGCTAAGTAGTTTGAACTTCCCATTAAAGGTTTTGAGGTAATCATAACACCAGAATTGCTAGAACCTGGGCTATTAGACCCGAAGGCATCGACTCCCCAAGACATCGTTGGATGGAAGTGAGGTCTATAAAATTATCACCAAATAATAGAAAGAATCAACTGAAAACTCGCTGAAACGGATGAAGGAAACGTTGTTTTTGTCGAAAAATTACTGTAGTAGTCGCCGGAAAAACTCAAAGTGGTCGGAATTAAAAAATAAAATTATAGGTAGGGTCGGAATTTGAGGGCGATCCAACTGCTCTGAAAGAATTTCGTAAAAGAGTGCCTGGAAAGTGCCTCACGCGCCGGCGCATGGGCGTCAGATCTTCGCAAGAGAAATTCGTCCGGCGGCGCATGGGGGCGCGTGCAGCCTGTTCTGCCGGAGATTTTTTGTTGGGTTGCTTGCCGAGCTCTAATCTACTTTCCGGTGATTTTGGTTTTTGCACAACACTGACAGATAGTATGATTCTTGTGGCCAGACTATTTTTGCCGGAAAAAAGGGCTTCTGGTTGACTGTTTTCTCTTCCCGGAGTCGCTGGAATTTATGCACAGCGTTAAATTTCTCCTGGTTGCTCTGATACCATGTGAGAAAGCACGGGAGAAAATATTATTGATATTATTCTCATATGTTAAACACGATACAATGAGCCCTATATATATATATACATAACATGTCCTACTCCTGATACATGTGGGATTAGGGTTATTTACTACTATTTAGTATTTACATAACCATTCTAACACTTCCTTTTCCATCGGTTGATAACATAGAGTTCTATTTATTTCATTCTTCCTTAATTTTTAGTTTTGTTTTAGTGTTTTTATCTCTTGCTTTTGGTTTGGGATCTTTTAGTTCCTTTATGAAGCTGGCTATGGTTCAAATCATTCCAATGTCGTGGTGGTATTATTGGTGTGACTCAACCACGCCATGTTGCAGTACTTGCAACTGCCAAACGAGTGGCATTTGAGCTTGGTTTTAGTCTTGGCAAAGAGGTTGGTTTCCAAGTTAGACATGACAGGAGGATAGGAGACAATTGCTCCATAAAGTTCATGACTGATGGAATTTTGCTTCGGGAACTGCAGGTAAGATGTCAGTATTAATGTCTAGGTAAATTGAAATCTTCGTCCCTACCTTTTAAGTGCTTTATATTTTGTCCTTACTATGAAAAAGGGTGCACACCATTTGAGTGCTAAATATTTAAGAAAAGGTTGAGAAAATTAGAGCAATACCTTGAATAGTGAAATAATTGAGACTTTATAAATTACTTTCAAAGAAGCAAGAGAGATGTTTCTATCAATTAGCTGTGTCTTGATTTCAAACTAGTTGGAGTTGGCTATATGAATCCGCTATGTTCATTCCACTCCATTCAGACCCATTTTTAATCCAATTTTACACTATTGGCTTTAGAGACAAGAGGGGTTGCTCTGATGGTAAGTAACCCCACTTCCAACCGAGAGGTTGTGAGTTCGAGTCTACCCAAGAGCAAGGTGGGAAGTTCTTGGAGGGAAGGATGCCGGGGGTCTATTTGGAAACAGCCTCTCTACCCCAGAGTAGGGGTAAGGTCTGCGTACACACTACCCTCCCCAGACCCCACTAAGTGGGATTATACTAGGTTGTTGTTGTTGTTGTTGTTGTTGTTGTTAACACTATTGGCTTTTGTTTAGGAGTTAAATGTTTTTTTTTTGTTGAGAAAGGTAACAGAAAAGAAGAAAAGTGAACTAGTGACTCCTTTAGTTGTTGAGATAATGTGGAGGGGCAGTGGTAACCAGTTTAATTACCAAGCAAAGGTTAAGTCGTTCAGAAGTGGGAACAATAGTAAAATCAGGATGCAGTTCAAAGCATGTTTGTGAATGCAACTATAATCCCATTGTTTTTGTTTTTAGCCTCTTGCAATGAGAGGGGGATAGTGCTGCAGGTTGAGGTCTCATTACAAAATTGTTAATATAATTATTTTTGGGAGAAACAATGGATTAGGCACTCCTAGTCATTTTTGCAATTTGCATATTGAGCCGAATAATGTTAAAAAAAGCCCAATAATGTACAGTTCGAAATAATTTCAGTTTTATGTGAACAATTCACACATGGACATAAAACCAACTCCTAACTAATCCTTGATGCTTTCCTATAAACAATAGGATGACTATATGTAAAAAAATTCCTTTTTATGTCATTAAAAGAAAAGGATTAAGGTTCCAAAATGTTCGGACTCTCCTGAATGAAGCTATTGTTTGGTAGGGGGAAGTTGAGGGACAAAGAGCTCTACCCCTTTGGCGATCATAGTGAGGGTCATATATCAGTATATTCAAGGAGGATTTGTCCATTCAACTTTTGCGCAAGGAAAAAAGATCCTTTCATGCTTTTGTCGTTGTGGTTCTGTTGCTTTCCAGTACTTCAGTGCCATACTCAACCAACTTTGTTGTTTCACCGGTGCAATGCCACTTTACATGAGATATTCAATCCATGCTCCTTTTTGTCCATTATAGATGGTTCCGTCTGGTTTTCTTTTATTCTTTACCAATTTGTGTTTAGTGAGAATCAAGTTTTAAACTCAAGCGTTGCTCGACCTTGCTTTTCAGATATGAGTTAAAATTCTAATTGCATAAACTGATATGTTGGAACTATTTTTTGACAGGTAAGTGACTTTATTAATTTTTTTGGTATATGCTCTATGGAGTTAGAACCAAATAGTTGAATGAAATGAATTAACGATTAGTCTAGGACGACGAACACGGATCAAGAGTGTCTATCAAAGCCTTTTTCTTCTTCACTTCAAAGAGGCAATGCACCCTTTGTTTGAATGTTACTTGTTTCATAAAGATTGATTTTTTGAAGTTATACATTCTTCTTTTAAAAAAAAAGGGTTAGGCGCGAAGGAATAGATATTTGCTATTTGTAGCAGTACCAAATGATCACTTGTCTTACTTGCCTTAGATCCTGCATGTTAGGGTTGTCCACTGAAGCGCAGGTTGTCCTATGATTTGTTATACATTAAGGGGAAACAATGATGTGACTGCAAAGATTTAGTTGTTGTTGTCTTCTAATTTATCTTCTGAGCAATTTGAATTTCCTACTGTTAGTTTTCTTGAATTTGTATTTGGTTAAGTGTCACGACCCCAACCCCGGTCGTGATGGCGCCTAACACACCGCTAGGCAAGCCCGACCAATTCAACAACCTTAACCCTTTTTATATAGTTCATGATTCAATTAACACAAATAATTACTAAATCATAATACTGAAACTCAGAAATATAGTTAAAACATGCGGAAACCCCAAGTAGAAATACTACTACACAGCCCGAAGAATCCGGTGTCACAAGTCTGAGCCTCTAATGCACGGGTGTCAACCTACTACATACTGCTCTAGAGAAATGCGGAAATAAAGCAAATAGGTTAGATGGGAAGATCATGACTGCGAACGTCATGCAGCTACCTTGATGCTCCCGGATATGATGCTTGGCAGAGAAATCTTCACTCAGCCTCAGTGGGTGCACCTAGATCTGCACACAAGGTGCAGGGAGTAATGTGAGTACTTCCAACCCAGAGAGTAATAAACATAAATAAAGGCTGAGAGTAAGAAATCCTGGATAGGCACAATGTAAGCTATAATTATAGTAGTTCAATCCAGATAATATCAACTCAATAAAACCAATGAAAACAATGATGCTGCAAAAGATAAGTAAATGAATGACAATCAATTAAGAAATGCAACAAATAGTACGGTACTCTCTAGTACCCGCTGCGGCGTACAGCCCGCTCCATTTATTTATCGTCGACGGCGCTCACTGGGGGTGTGCAGACTCCGGGAGGGGCCCCTTACGGCCCAAGCGCAATATCAAGCCATCTCGTGGCATCCATTAGGCCCTAAGCCTCATATCAATATAATACTGCTGCGGCGCGCAGCCCGATCCCATACTCAGTCCAGAATCATATAAGTCCCTCGAGCACAATAATATATAAATATTCAGCCCAAACTTCATTAGAAATATTATTTAGGTTCCATGTTTGAGAAAAAAAAAAGGCTGAGTTGCAAAAAAAAGTGCCAAATACTAGGACTGAGTTTAATTATATGTAAAAATGGTAAGAAACCAGCAAGAGCAATCCCTGAAGGATTCAATCAATTGGCACGAGGCCCAATTATGACAATTAATCCATTTTTATAAGGATATCAACTAAGCTTCAATCAATTAGGTAGTAATTTTATAAAGCGGGACGGACCAAGTCACAATCCCCGACGGTGCTCTACCCCACGCCCGTTATCCGGCATGCAAGTCACCTCAACATAGCACTACGATGTGCAAATTCGGGGTTTCAAACCCTCAACACAGCATTTACATCTATTACTAAGCTCAAGCCGGCCAAAATCCTAGCTCGCTATGCCCTTGCCTCTCAAATCGACCTCCTTGCACGTCGAATCTGACCAAAACCACAACGAATACGTCACATTATGCTATAGGATCAATACCCAATCGAAAATAATCGAAAAACATCAATAATCCCGAAATTGACAAAACCCGAGCCCCGGGCCCACTTCTCAAAACTCAAAAATTTTTACAGAAAAGTGTTCTTCATCTTCTCCCGATTCCGTACATATAAAGAACACCAAAATCGGAGTCTGTTTGACCCCTCAAATCGACCCCTAAAGGTCTCATAATCTCAAGCCCCAAAATCCTATTTTTCTACTGTTTTTCATGAATTAAAGGCTGGGATTATGGTCTATAATCACCCATAAACGAGTTTCAATAATCAAATCACTTACCTCTGTGATACCCACTGATTTTCTCTCTTAAAAATCGCCTCAGAAGCTTCTTCCCATTCAAAAATTGGAAGAAAACTCGATCTGCTCATTATAGGTATACTGATCACGCGTTTTACTGCTCCCAATGGATTCCTTGCGAAATTCTAATGAATTTAGGCTTTTGAATCACTCAATTTGACCTTATAATGAAGGAGATATGTAGGTTTTAAGATTTGCAAATAGTGCAGGTTTTTAATACGCCGTCAGGGGCAATTTCGTCATTAACCTGAAAATCTGGGCAACCTTGGTAAAATGACCATAAAATCCTCATACGATGTTCAAATTCGACGATTCTTTTTGCTACGGGTTCGTAATTACGATACGGATCTAATACTTTATTCAAAACAGTAATCAGAGCTCATTTGTTCAATACGATATCATTTATGCTTGAAGAAACGATGTCGAAGCATAAGAAAAACGAGCACAACGCAGCGCAAACCTATCCGAAACTCACCCGAGCTCCTCGGGACCGCATACGAACATACTAACACGTCACATATGACCATTCAAACTTAGTTGCACTCTCAAAACACCAAAACTAACATCAAAACACCAAATTTACATCGGATTCAAGCCTAAGTTCTTCTAAAACTTCCGAAACACGCATTTGATCAAAACCCCAACCAAATCACCTCCGAATAACCTGAAATTTTGCACACACATCCCAAATCACCTAACGAAGCTACAACAACTCTCGAAATTCCATTCCGACCCTCGGATCAAAATATCACCTATCAACCGGAATTTGCCAAAATACTAACTTCGCCAATTCAAGCCTAATTCTACACCGGACCTCCAAAATCACTTCCGATCACACTCCTAAGTCACAAATCATCTCCCGAAGCTAACCAAATCGTCGGAATCCACATCCGAGCCCTCTAACTCATAGGTCAACATCTGGTTGACTTTTCCAAAACAAGCCTTCCTTAAAGAGATTAAGTGTCTCATTTCCTTCCAAAAATCAACCCAATTTAACTCGTTCACACATGACACTGATAGTGAAGCATAACGAAGCAGGAAATGGGGGAAACGGAGCGGTTCTCACGAGAAGACGGGTCGGGTCATCACATCAAGCAAGTTTATATAATCTTCTTTTGATTTTCTCCTCCCTGACCCTCCACTTTTATGCAGAATGATTTTCTTTTAAGGCGTTACTCGATCTTAATCTTGGACGAGGCTCATGAGAGGAGTTTGAACACTGATATACTTATCGGTATGCTTTCTCGTATAGTAAGAGAGCGTCAGGTGAGATAATAGTTTGCTATCTCCATAAAGTTGGTTGTCATTTCATTATTCATAGGTGGCTTTAAAAATATTAGTGGTTACGCTCTAAGACTCCAGTTCTCCTTGACTCTCCCCATCCCCCTCCTTTTCTTTAATTATCTTCCTTTGACTTCTACGCTTTTTGACGTTTTTGATTATGTGCTTTATTGCAGAGAGAATATGAGGAGCAACAAAAAAAAGTTCTTTCAGGACAAACGGTAAGCCCTGAAGAGAGAGTATATCCACTGAAACTTGTGTTGATGAGTGCTACACTTCGAGTTGAGGACTTTATATCTGGGCAAAAAAATCTCCGTGATCCTCCGCCTGTAATGGAAGTCCCCACTCGCCTATACCCAGTTACTGTTCATTTCTCCAAGAGAACTGAGATGGTGGACTATGTCGGCAAAACATATAAGAAAATATTATCAATTCACAAGAGATTGCCACCTGGTGGTATACTTGTATTTGTGACAGAGCAAAGGGAAGTTGAATACTTGTGTCAGAAGCTGCGCAAAGCTTCTAAGGAGATAGTTGAGAGAGCTTCCAAATTGGATAATCAGACGTCTTTGGTTCTGAAGGGAATACCATCGAGGAAAATGTTATCAAGGAGATAAGTGAGGCATTTGATGATGAAAGGAGTTCTATGACTGAGATAACTGAACGTTTTAATTCCTATGATGAGGATCACGGGGAGATCTATGAATGTGAATCAGAAATTTCCTACGATTCAGCAGATGATAGTGATTTGGATGTTTATGGTGATGATGCACAGTTGTTAAACCAGAAGTCTCTGAGCTCTGATGGTAAGTTAAATGTTTTAGGTGAGGAGGGAAGCCTTACATCACTGAAGGCTGCTTTTGAAGCTTTGGCTGGTAAAAGGACATCACAACCAGCTAGCATTTTGAAGCCTGAGGCATCAGGTCTTAAGCGGGCTGGAAATCTTTTAAACAAGATGAGGACTAAGAAGAGAACGATTGATAGTTGTGCAATGCTAAGGAAATTGTGGGATGATAATCCTCGAGAATTGTTTTCAGAAATTTTGGATTGGTTTCAGCAGGGATTTCACGACCATTTTGAAGACCTTTGGGCAAAGATGCAACTTGAAGTATTTTTAGACCCAAAAGAATGGCTCTCCAAGAAGGTCAAGAGAGAGAAAAGGAACCCATGAACTTTCTATGATTAGGAATATTATATGCCTTTCAGAATCTATCTCTGCTTATTTTGGATGATATGAACTCATTTGGCATGTTCTCACAGGCATAATATCTCTTTCCAAAAATGTGAGGTAGTCTCCTGCCTTTCCTTTTCCCACTCTCGCATCGGGCAAAGGGAATTTTAGTCAGTTCTTCCTTTGATTAGTATTTTTGCATACTATGATTTCTAGTGAGGACCAGCTAAAATAATGATTGATAAGAACTCTTTCTTAGGGCAGAGTTTAAAATCTTGCGCCATGCTCTCGGGGATTTCTCGGTTATAAAAAAGATTTCTTTTTTGTTTATGAAATGGTCCTATAGTAGAATATATCATTCATAACCTATTTGAAATCATTAGAATAGGTAATCATATTATCAAAACCTAACCAACAGTAGTAAAATGAAGTTGCTGCTTGAACTCTCGATAAACTGAACGGTTACACATGTATTTATAGTGAATTTTTGTTATTACTATTGTTTCTAATGGATGTTTACTTGAAGCTTTCAAATGCTAAACATTGCATAACTTACTTGCCTCTTATGTTCCATAGGTGCGCAGCAGAGGATGCAATATAGAAATTTAATGGAGCAGTTATCGGGAAACAGATGGTTCGTCTTTCCTGGGGTCGAAATCCAGCAAACAAGCAGGTATTTACCAAGATGGTAAAATTTGATTTCTGAAAAGCTTTTACTTCAGATATTAAGTATCTTGTGCCAACATCTGTTTCGTGGAGTCTCCATATTTGCTGTAAAGTTTTCATAAGTTCTCTATTTTGAGCAAAATGAGAAGAAGGGCAACAATGCTTCCCAGAAAATCCTACTGATGTTCTGCTTTTGTATGCTGATGAAAGCCCCATTGCATCGTGTATCTCTAATAAGTTACTTGCCAAGAAAGTGAAATGTTGAGAAGTTGACATATCTATGCTTTTGTTCGTGGTTCCCATAATATTTATTTACATACTCAGTTTGCAGAAATATGTAATCCAATTGATCACTGTTGCAGCAACTACAAATATTATTAGGCTGATGTTTCAATAGCCTTGGAACTTTAAGCAATTCACCTGATATATTATATTCTTAATGGTGTACCTAAACGAATTGAAATTTTATTTTCTGTGTTACCTTTCATTATTGATTACATTAGATGCTTTCTTCTACAATCTTTTTCACTGGTTCTGGAGGATGTTCTGTAAAATAACATACTTATTTGTATTACTATAAGGGGGCGTGTGGTTGCATTACTAAAATGTGATAATACCTGTATAAAACTCCACATTAGTAATACAATGTCTGATTACCGTTTGAAACTTGCGTAAGATTCAGCATTATATAATAAGTACTATATATTGTTTGGTTGGGTTTTTTTTTTGATTTGCACCGGGTGTCCGAGTCTCTTCGAGCCCCGACTAATTCCGAGGGTGCACAGGCCCTCGGCAAGGAGTTTCCCGTAAGTGCACCACGGTTAATTCAGGTTTTACCCAGTCCGATGGCCCTCAGAAATTGTTTGCACCCAGTGGGTTTCGAACTTGAGACCTTGAAATGGAGAAAACCCCAAGGCTCAAGTCAATAGCCAGCTTAACCAACACCTGCATAAGTTATGCAGAAATCTATGTGTTATTTAGGCGGGATAGGTGAAATAAGAATACGGAAATTAGTAATACATGAAAGTGACCGAAATAACCCTCATGGATTAAACTTTTTTTTTGAAAAAAAAAACAAAAAAACACACATGTTTGTAATCTCTCCAATACAACTCATGCGTTATTAATTTCTGCATTACAATCCCAGCATATGGATCCCTGCATTACTAATCCCTATATTCTAATTCGTGCACTATTAATCTCCATAACTTGTCTCAAAACCAAGTTGGCCCCTTTCTGTTTCTTGGTTTTTTCCACTATTATATAATCGGAACTTTTAGAGCTTCAAAGTGACAATTTATGCATCTTATGCTCTTTATTAATAGTTGGCTGTATTTCTAGATTTTAGATTCCATGAAGGTTCTTCATAAAACGTCTGTATATTTAACTTATGTTTACTTTGTTTTTTGCAGTTGGGGACTGACTCTGGTAGCCAGTGGAATGGGGGTTATTATGGAAGGAAAAATTATTATTTGGAGGGGGGGTGTTACGGATATGATGCATCACAAAGTCAAGATCCTAGCATGTATGCTGCTGGAGCCGCTTATGGGGAATCTTCTAATGGCTACGGCATTCACCAGCAGCCAGTTAGCTAGCTGAACTATAGTCTGAGTGCTTTTTAGTTAGAGTTTGGCAAACTTTTTTAGTTGTATTGCCTTTATGATTTGATGAGGGGTGAACTTACTCGTCTCGTGTTTCTCTTACCTTCTCTCTTATTTATCTCTATTCAGCATTTTATCTTTGATCGACACTGTAAAATTTACAGAGTAGGATCAAACAATAAGTAATGGCAAACACAAATTTCAACACACATGTGACTTTTGTTTCTAAAATAAGTTAATTTTTTTTTGCCAAATTTTTTTTGTTGGAAGTTGCAAGTTGTATGTTATTAATGCCTTTGCCATGGATATTGAGCTCAAGCTGCAATTCTTTTTTTTTTCTTCTCTTTTTTGGAAGAGGGGTTAGGCTAATATATGAAAACATCAATAACCTCACTGAACAAGACTAAATCGTTCCATCTCTAGTTTTTTTTTCTTTTTTTTTTTCTAAATTGAAATAAAAATGATTTTTTAAAGTCCTGACGGTAGTTTGAGCTTAGTATAATGAGTTATTGACATTTATCATCGAAGAAGATTTTCACATGGACTTTGGCGGGTTATTGTCACGATCCAAAATCCAGACCCGATCGTAATGGCGCATTTCGTGAAGACAAGGCCAGCCGACACACTCCCAATTTATTTTAAGCAATTAAAATAATACCAGTTAAGTCTTTAACATAATAATAACGAAGAAGGGTCAAATATATCCTTGTACTATCTAAAATGGTTTAAATATATCCTCCATTATACTATTCGTTTAATTAACTCCCTACCGTTATACTATTGACACTGATTTACCCGCCACGTGGCAGCTCCAGTATAAAACGACCCACCTAATTTTAAATACCCGACTTAATTACAAATCCACCCATTATCTTACTGTTTACCCGACCCAATTCCCTACTTGATAAACCTTCGTTTCGCCATCATTAAAACTAAAAACAGAAAAACAAAGAAAGAAACTCCATCGCCGACAATGCTTCCACCTGACGACGGCTTCTCCACCGCCAATTCCTCCAATTCAAGAAACAATGCTTCAACCGGAAATACTATATCTTTGCCAATGCTTCCATATACACTAATTCCCTTAATCTTAGAAAAAATACTCCAGATTTTTTTCTCACCATGAAGTAACAGAGAAAAAAATTGGAGACTAAAGTATCGGAATATGAATTGTTTGTCTTTACCTGCAACTTGCACTGGCATATTTCAACCACTATAGTATGCTTCTATAGGTGATTTAGAATTTGAGCAAAAAGTGACTATAATCGAAAGAGGTGCCTTTGGAATGGTGAAGGTTGATAAATTTGTCATTCTTTACTGCTTACTTTGGAGTGGTTCCGTAAAATCTCCAATGGTAAAAGTACATAACTTTGTCGTCCTTCAATTATTGTTAAATTTTGGTTTCGATTCGATTTCGGGCTGTCGATTGCCATCTTCTTCATTCTTGTTTTTTTGCCTTCATCGGGTTAGGAAAGGGACTTTGAAAGACGAGGAAGACGGACCAAAACTTGAACAATATTTAAGGAGAGTAGGAGGTGGTGATGGCGGAAGAGGAGAAGGAGCTGCGACAATGGGTGATGTGGTACAAATTCTCGGGTCGGGTAATAGGTTAGATAATGGGCAAATTTTTAATTAGAATCGGGAATTTAAAATTGGGTGTGAATCCTTTGTTCCTGAGCTGCCACGTGGCACTCTGTCTAAATTAAGGGCAAATAAGTGCTAATAGTATAACGGTAGTGAGTTAATTGAATAAATAGTATAACGGAGGATATACTTAAACTATTTTAGATAGTACAGGGATATATTTGACCCTTTTCTGTAATAATAAACCCAAAATAAGGTGAAATAGTACAGTTTGCGAAATAGACATAGCCCAACATCGGGGTGTCACCAGTCATGAACATCTACTATAAATACTACAAGTCTAAAAGAGTCTACACAACTATTGCATAACTAAAATAAGAGAAAATAAGGTAGAGGGAGAAGCACTGGGCTGCGAACGCCGAGCAGCTACCTAGTGAATCTCCGATGTATGCTGGAAGCTCTCAACCCTCACAAGCAAGACCTGAAGCGCCTGAATCTGCACACGGGGTGCAGGGAGTAAAGTGAGTACTCCAACTCAGTGAGTAATAATAATAAATGTAGACTGAGTAATAAGAAATCACGTAAAGGCACATCAACAGGCTATAAAGAAGCGGTAAAAGCCAGTAAAAGCAATGAAACAGTGAAAATATGTAAAGTCACTTTAGTTCAGATTAAACTTCTTTGGAATGCCTTTTTAATAGTTAAGCAAGTAAATGACAGGCAACTAGGAAAGATAAACACATAAAGAACCGCCCCTCGGGCACAATACCAACAAAATCAGCCATTCGGGCAATACATGGAACAATACCAACCCCTCGGGCTATATCTCATATCACAATGGGTACCCGCGCTCACTGGGGGTGTGC